GAGAGAGAGAGAGAGAGAGAGAGAGAGAGAGAGAGAGAGAGAGAGAGAAAGAAAGTGAGAAAGTTTGTCTCTGTGTCCCTGTGATGGACTGGAGTTCAGGGTGTCCCCTGCCTCTCACACAGGGATTGCTGGATGAGGACACCAGTGACCCCCGTGACCTGAAAAGGAAGAAGTGAGTAAAGATAATGGATGGATGGATTTTAACATTGTTTTAATACATCACGTTTTAAAATCCTGTTCAGTGAATGTGCTTTTTCCACAACGGACATGTGCACGGGTCCTTAGCTCCCTCATAAATGAGACAGAAGAACAGTGAGTGCAGATAATGAGGCTTCAACATACCTGTCCCTTCCATCAGTGTCCTCTCCAGCTCAGGAGTCAAAGCTGTTACAAGTCACTTCCTGGAGCGTGTCACATGATTCCACCATGTTGGAACGTTAGCTTTGCAGCGTGCTGCTTCTCAGCTGAATATAATCTGACAGATGTTCACTGGCGAGCGTTAGCTTGCTAGCTCTACTAAAACCCTAAACAAAGCAGAGAAGTAGCACACGGCCAGCCTTGGTTTGCAGCGTCAGTGCAGTGCACTGTGATCAATGGTTTCTTTCATTTCATGCTCAGTCTGGTCATTGTTGTGCTTGGACTGCTGCTGGCCTGTGCCAAATCAAGCGTCCTCTCTCCTTCAGCCGTCACTGTTCAGGTACAGACTGTTTTCCCCGTTGTCTTGCATGATTCATGAACTGTGATGGTCCTTTGGTTAAAACACATCAAAGTGGTTAAACAACATTTATGTAATATTCTGGGGAGCATCCACAGGACAGGGTGGACAATATAAAGTAGAAGGAAAGAACACAGGCCTATGCTTTGGCTCTCATTAAGGTTGTTTCTCTCATTCATCCAGACCTATGTAATCTGAGGGAGTTGCAGTTGCACCAAAGCTGCTGATGTGTGAATGTTTCTCTAGAATGCTTCACGTCCATTTCAGCATCTCGGTTATAGCACATGCAGACTTGGTGGATCCAAACCAGAGCACCAAATTGTTAAGTTTAGGACACCCAGAACTTTCAGGAAGCAGGAAATGGTATCATGTCCCTGTGGTCCCTTTGTTGTCATCAGCTTCCACTGTTTTCATCCTCAGTTCCTTTCAGAATGAAACCTGCACAGAGCAACAAAACAAAAAGAAAGGAAGAAATGGGTCATGTTGAAATGGTAGATGTAAAGTGTGCATGTTGCATCACAGGTTCACCCCCAGTTACAGCTCTGTTTGCAGCCACGGCCGCTCGGCTTGCTCTTTCTGTTGTGACATCACACTAAATGATGGTATTTGTAAAAAAAGATGGTTTACCTTGAACCAAAATAAAAGAAATAGAATTAAAATGTTGGTATTAGTATAAAATACAAGAATGTCTTGTAGATGTGCATTTCAGCCTTGAAAGAATCCACGGGGAAATTGATCTGTGTCGCAGCTTTACCAGAACTAATAAAGAGACGAGGATTTACAGCAGAGGGCGTGTGGCAGGTGAAGCAGCGTGTGGAGACGCAGCGAACGGACCGGTGAAGCTCCAGAGTTCGCCCAGGATAACTGGAGCTGGGCTTCGTGCTGAAGTTAGACCCAACTCTGGAGGGAAGAGGGCGACTCCCATATTAACGCAAAGTGCCACACGGGGAAGGAGCGGTCCGGATTCCCTGGAGCCGTTTTGGCGGAGAGCGCTCCAGGTCTAAAGAAGGAAACCCCGGGACAGAGACGCCAACCCGGTGACACGTTTCCTTATTATTATCTTTTCTCCTTTCGTTTTGAGAGACTGGAGGATCTTCTGGGCCCCAACGAGTTTTTCTTGTCTGAATATTTTTTGAGTGTCTAATTGACGACTTTTTATGGGACAATTTCTTATTTTTATTAAAGAGAGATCTCTCTTAGGAAATATAGGAACTTGAATTATTTCAGAGACTTCGTCATGATCATGAAGATGTGCTTGTGTAACTGATTATGATTGAATATTGATTGGAACAGCTGGATTTTGTTTGATTCATATATCGAGCCTCGACCAACAGCACCTTGAAGTTGACGTGTCCAAGTTTATTTTTTACTTCTCTCTTTATTTCCTCTTTTCATTGTTCTTCCTAATGTTTATTTAGGACGGTCCAGTGTTATACTCAGTTTCCTACTATTTTCAAAAATTGTTAAAAGAACTCTGTCGAGTGTGTACAAGCTCACATTTAGATGGGAGATTGTTACACTGTCTCTTTCTTTTCCTGTCCAGTGCATCAACATGGAGGGAGGAAGAAGTTGAGCTCACCTGCGACCATAGTTTCCACTTCATAGTCCTTTCAAGATGAAATAAAACAATGATGGGACCATTAAGATGTGTCAGAGTAGATGCATTTAATGATGAACTCAAGTGCAGTTTGTGCAAGGTTGTTTTTTAAGATGTTGTTTTTGTCTTCAGTTTAAAAATGTTCTGCGTGTGAGCAGCTGGTTAGCTGTTTCTAAAGGTCTTTCTCTGTCAGGCTCATCACGATGATATAACAATGATCATTTTCATAATGAATGATAATAAAAAGGAGGCTTGTTAAGATTTAGTAGTGGACCATAGAGAACTTTCCTTATTGGACTAAGTTACAGTGTGGATGACTTGGCTGAAATATGGTGAAGTATTTCAGGTTAAAACAAGCAGAACAGAAGCTAAAATGGGAAAAATCAAACAAATTTAAAGCTAAAATTAGCAAAACTGTACCATACCATACCATACCATACCAATTTATTTATATAGCACTTTAAAGAGTGACAAAGCACACCAAAGTGCTGTACAGGGACAAACAGAACAAGCACACAGCAACAGATTACATAACAGGACACCAAAAAGTAGAAACCAACTAAAACTGTAGCGTAAAGTTAAAACCAGTACAGCGAAGCAGATTTTCAGCAACCAGTGTTTTTGATGGAATTGAAGAGCTCTTTGTGTATTTTTATGGATACTTTTTTTGGTGTACTTGCAAATATTAAATACTGTCATTTCCAGACTATTGAACGCAACGAGTCACGCCCACTACATAAAAATAATTCTAATAATTTGTACATCTATAGCTTGTCTATAAGCTGCAGGTGTCCATGTTGTAACATATTTACACTAAAATATCTTTAAAAACTTTTCATTAAACACGTACAAATATGTACAGTATATGTTTTTGTGTGAACAGTGCCTGTAGCACAGCTGGTTAAAGACAAACCAGTAGTCTAGCAGGAAGTCATTGATCACTATCTTTATATTCCTCCTGCTCCACGAGAAAAAGATGCTCTGCACATGCAAGGGCAAGTGGGCAGGCAGACTAGGTGCTGAAACAAACAGCTAAACATAACTAAAGAAAATGCATTTTCTGCACAAGTGCAGTGTGAATGCTTATTGTAGAAGAACCTGCTGAAAAACAGCTGAAATTAGCTAAAAAACATGCTGAAATGTAGCTGAAATGGAAGAACAAGCCTAAATTAGCAGAAGAAAACAGGTAAAACAAACTATTAGCTGGATTAGATTTAAATAAGCAGAAATGAGCACAAAATTATGAAATCAGCTTAAAAAAGCTGAAATTAGCAACAACAACAAAAAAGTAGCTGAAAAGGCAGAAAGAAGCTTAACCTATCAGAAGGAAGTAGAAAGCTCTGAAAAGAGCTAAAAGAATGTGAAATTAGCTTAAAAAGCTAAAATTAGCATAAAACAGCTAAACAGTTGCTGAAATAGTATAAAAGGCTGAAATTAGCAGAAATAAGTTAATTAGTCTGAAATAACAGACATTACCAAGAAAAACTTGAATTTATCTGAAAACAGCTGAAATTAGCTAAAATAATGTTTGTTTAAAAAAGAAGCTCAAAAGGTAGAACAAGCTTAAATTGGCAGAAGAAAGAACACGTTTGCCCAGTTAGCTACTTTTCTGCTGATTTCAGCCCTTTGGTTATGATTTAATATATTTATTTATTTACTAATTCAAAATTTTCTTGTGTCTGCTAATTTCAGATTGAGTCTGTTATTTTTCAATTTCATTCAAGTTTGTTTGAACTAGGACGGCACCGTAAACAACGTGACATGTTAAAAACGAAGCAACCGTTGTTTTGTACGAAGGTTTTCTAGCCACAAGCTAATTTGCAAACCCAGTCCTTGGTTGTACTTTTATATAAAAACAGCTAAAATCAAATTTAAGTTTAATTAAAATTAAACCGTTCCCTCGCACACATGCCTGCTCCTCTATTCTCTCTCTTTAGTTTCCTTCTACACGTTTTATTTATTGTTCATTTTTACATACTGTTTTACCACTTCCAGCTTTCTTTAGCTTCTTACAGATTCTTAGTCTCAGTTGTTTTTAGACAGACTAGGCTAAAATTTGGTGTGGTAGTAGCCAAGAGTGATTCCCAACATAAACTGAAGGCTAATCAAAAAGTCAAGATGGCTGCCAAAGCTAACGGCAGCGGTGCGTCATTCTGTGGTTAATTTCTTGTCTAAGCTCTAACTTTGCCACTGCGTTGTCAAACTTCACAGCTGGACACCTCATGGGCCAACAATGATTTCAGGGTCACAAGGTCAAAGGTCAAGGTCACAGGTCAACTCTTTTTCTGCTGATATCACCTTTGTTCGGCTGATTTAAGCTTTTTCTGATCATTTAAGCCTTTTTGAGGTAATTTCAGCTTTTTTCAAAATTTTTCCTGTTTTTTTTTTTTTTTTGCTCTCTTTTTTCCTTTTGCTAGTTTCAGCTTTTACTGCTCCTTTTAGTTTATCTTTTGCTATTTTCAGATTTTTTTGTGCTCTGTTCAGCCTCGCTCCTGTTTTAGCTTATTCTGCTAATTTCAGCTACATTTTTTTTGCTCATTTTGACACATTTCTATTGTTTTGCTACTGCTTTCCACTTTTATTTAGCTGCTTTCAATTAGCTGTTTAAATTCAACTCCCCTTGTCAGTTTAGCATTTGTTGTCATTCGTTCACCTTTATTTATACAGGTTAATCTTATTGAGTCACGAGGACTCGTCTACAAGAGAGATGTGTTTGAATATTGTTTTGCATGGTTTCAGCTTCTTCAGCAGCTTGCAACAAAAAGCATTCACACATTTCTGCAGGAACGACCGTTTGTTTAGTTGTAACTTTTCTCTATTAGCTCAACCGCTGGACAGCTGTGCCTCATGTGCCGTGTCAGCGTGCTGTGTTTCTTTGGCAACACACACACTCTGGCTTGCCCTCAACCACCAGCAACGGTGCACGGTGCCATGCATTTGTTTTACCTCCATGGCCAATGACAGCTCCCCTGTGATCCTGGGCTCTGCTCTCCTGTAGACATTTGTAATCCCTATAATCCAAGGTAGCATAATGCCCACAGAAGTGCTTGAAGTTTGGCTCAGCAGCCAGTCACTGGAATCCTTAACGATGTGCTGACGGACTGTTTAGTGGAGAAAGCAGGCTGTCAGAAAGCAGTGTTGAGCAAGTCGGGACGATCCAACCACTGCTCTGCCTCTCCTCTTGAATGTGCTCCTTTTTTCCGTCTGTTTGTCATGCTTCCTGCCTCTTTCTCTCTGCCTCCTGTAGCCCTCCCCTTTCATCACACCTCCCTCAAACCGTCCTCTCTTTCTGTTTTTTCTCCACACCTTTGCTCCAGACTGATCAAACTCACTAAACAAATTTGTTTTTTTGGTGTGCTTTTCACGTTTCTTTCTTTATATAATTATGTCAGTGTTCTATGTTCCCAGCAGTCCTGCTCTTTCCTCAAATCATTTATTATCAAACGTTTATTTGGCCTTATTTCAAATCCTAGTTACAAAATAGTTTCCATGACATTCCTTAATGACGGGACTTTGGCCACTCCTCCACTGTTTGTGTTTGCATAGTGTCTGCAGGATGTTACACACATGATTGTTCCAATGAAATACGGTCTCAGAATTCTCCTTATTGCCTGCTGAGTGTTTCTGAACTGAAGCTTGTGAAAACACTAATGAGGGCTTCTTGGCATTGGCATGGCAACAAAGAAAACAGACCAACATGAGAATTCAGAGCCTGTCTGTTGCCTTCTTCAATGCTTTTTTGACTAGTGAAATAACTCCCATATCTTTTTTTTTTACTTCACATCTAGTCACTTTATTGTGGATTTTTATTTATTTATTTTAAGGACTTTTCCACCCTTTTCCGACTGGGAAAAGGGTGGATTGCTCTCTCCAGATCGAGGGTGAGGTTCTGCCTCAAGTGGAGGAGTTCAAGTGTCTCTGGGTTTTGTTCACGAGTGAGGGAAGAATGGAGTGTGAGATTGACAGATTGGTGCTGCGTCTGCAGGATTGTGGACTCTGTGCCGGTCCGTTGTGGTGAAGAGGAAGATGAGCTGTAAGACAAAGCTCTCTGTTTACCAGTTGGTCTACGTTCCTACCGTCACCTCTGGTCATGGACTCTGGGTAGTGACTGAAAGAATGAGATCGTGGATACAGGAAGTTGAAATGATTTTCCTCCACAAGGTAGCTGGACTCTCCCTTAGAGACAGGGTGAGGAGTTCAGTTATCAGGAGAGACTCAGAGTAGAACTGCTGCTTCTTCATATCGAGAGGATCCAGTTGAGGTGGTTTCAGCATCTGGTCAGGATTTCTCCTTACCAGTTAAGGATAGAAAAAATAATTACAAATACAAACCAGGTTGAGCAGAGTAAGTAAAGACAGTAGCAGAGTGAAAAGTGTGGTCAGTTTGTCCTCCAGCAGTCTAAGCCTATAGCAGCATAACTAAGGGACAGCTCAGGAAACCCAAGCCGACTCTAACTATAGGATTTATCAAAAAGGAAAGTCTTAAGCCTAGTTTTAAAACTGGATAATGTGTCAGTCTCATGGACAGAGATTGGAAGTTGGTTCCACAAGAGAGGAGCCTGATAACTGAAAGATCTGCCTCCCATTCTGTTTTTGTAAATTCTAGGAACCACAAGTAAACCTGCAGTCTGAGAGCGAAGCGCTCTGTTAGTAAAATATACCATACCATACCAATTTATTTATATAGCACTTAAAACAGCAACAAGGCCAACCAAAATGCTGTACAAAAGAACCAAACATGCACAGCAGACAGGAAAACATAAAATAGAAATACAGATACAAATAGCAGCAGAAGCTAACTAAAATGGCCAACAGAGTAGAGAACAGACCGGACCAAAACAAATCACACCATGTTAAAGGCAAGCGAATAGAAGTGGGTCTTCAAGCGAGACTTAAAGACTGAGAGTGTGGGAGCCTGCCGGACACTCAGTGGCAACTCATTCCACAGTCGTGGACCTGCAACAGAGAAAGCCCTGTCACCCCTAAGCTTACG